GAGCTCAGAGATTGAGTCACCTGCTGATTGTGGAGCAAATGTCCCAAACACCACCTAGCTTACAGTCTGACTCTCTCATAATGTGACTCCAGTCTGACCACCATGGAGTGTGAGACGCCCTTTTGGTCTCTGGCATGGTAGCGAAAGGGGTTAGTGTGTCCTTGCTGACCTCGACAGGCTTGCAAGGTGGGCAGATCAAAACCTGATCGTGTTCAACACTGAGAAATGCAAGATGCTGCACCTCGGGGGGCGGGGAAAAAAAATCCACATTATAATTACAGGCTTGGCAGTGCTACACTCACTAGCACTGCAAGAGACTTTGGGGTCATGATTGACCACAAGATGAACATGAGCCACCAATGCAATGCCGCAGCTGACAAAGCAAACAAAACCCTGGCTTGTATCTATCAGTGCATCTCAAGCAAGACCGAGGAAGTCACCCTCCCGCTGTGTTTGGCCTTGGTGAGGCCGCAGCAGGAGTACTGCGTCCAGTTCTGGGCTCCGCAATTTAGGAAGGATGTGGAGAAGCTCGAGAGAGTCTGGAGGAGAGCCACGCGCATGATCAGAGAGAACAAGTCTTATGAGGAAAAGCTGAAAGGCATGGGACTCTTCAGCTTGGAAAAGCAAAGGCTCAGGGAGGGACTTGGTGATGGCCTATAAGTATATTAGGGATGTGTACCAGGAACTGGGAGAACGTCTGTACACCAGGACTCCCCAGGGGAAGACAAGGTCTAATGGTCACAAACTGCTGGAAGACCATTTTAGACTGGACATAGGAAAAACTTCTTTACTGTCCAAGTCTCCAGAGTATAGAATAGACTCCCCTCGGAAGTGGTGCAAGCACCTACTCTGGACACCTTTAAACCACACTTGGATATTTATCTTGCTGGGATCATTTGACCCCAGCTGACTTCCTGCCCCTGCGGCAGGGGACTGGACCTGATGATCTTGCGAGGTCCCTTCCAGCCCTAATGTCTATGAAATCTATGAAAATATGGTTCCCTGAGAGCTGGCTGCACTTTGTTCTGACTGGTCCCGGGTAGAAAGGGGCAGAGCCAGTTTGGGTATTGCTGGGCTCTGCTTAGGCGTAAGCTGAGGGTGAGGAGGCTGCAGAAAACAGTGTGACTGCTGCTTATGCACTTTTCATCGTGCAACTGGTTATGCTCAGAAACGGAAAGCCCTCCAGGGCTTGTTGTTTTTGTCATGCTGCTGCTTCCTCTACCTTCCCTCTGTCCCCTATCTCTGCCTTCAGTGTCGTTCCTTCAAAGCATGCTGTTACAGAGCCTGGCTCTGGGAACATTTTTTTTCTGGGACCGTTTGTCCCACTGATGCAGAAAACTAAGTGCCCAAGATGTGAGGCCCCCCTGCCAGATCTTTCCTCCCACTGCCAGGGGTGATGCTGCAGGGGGACATATTTTTTCAATTGTTATTTCATTAGCATATGTTTTATTGCACAGTCATGCCAAGCGTTATTTCTGGCAATGACTTCATGTCCATGTCTTTGGAAAGCCCACACCATCCGAGGGGGAGGGGGAAAAACCCGTAGGAGCTGTCATTATAGTTGGAGCACGTGGGAAAGATCAACCTTCCAGACGCTGCGAAGATACGATCTATTAATCACAAAGTGATTCATGCTGCGTAACGTCTTGACTCAATGACTGTGTCCTTTGGACTGAAATTTAAAATGAAAATGATTCTGACAAGTCAGTTATAGTTGATGAGCGTCACTTGAAGGCAGGCATGCCTCGGCTAATGTGAGCGAGATCGCTGGAGAGGGCAAAATGATTGTCACAGAGTGTGTGGCAGGGGAAATGTTTCTGTCAGTGAGTGTCACAGCTTCGTGTTTTCATTTTGGCTCAGGAGAGCAAATGAAAGGAAGTGTTGTCAAAAGAGATGACATGTGGAGGAGTCGCCCGTACACACCCATATGCCCATACAACATAACGTTGAGGTTTGGCATTCGTCTGAAGACAGAACTGGCAAATCTGGAGTCACGAACAAAACCCTGGCCAGATGTTTTCCCAGTCCTGCAATGCTACTACTGAATTGTGCAATATGTGCATGCACCCAGAATCCTACCTTTGTGCAAATTATTGTTTGTACATGTAAATTAAGTGATTTTATGTGTACATTCTTGAATGACACGTTCAATTATGTGATTTGTTGTTTTGTTGATTATTTGCATCTTGATAGCGCCTGAAGACTCTGATCACAACCTGGGACCTCTATATGGCGAGGCAATATGCATGCAGTTGGAGTTGATCATTGCCCCAAGGACCCGACATTATAAATAGAACAGCCTTGTAAAAAGTGGAAGGGGAGATTGAAGCATATGACAGTGAAGGGACCCACCTATGGTCACACAGTAGCTTAGTGGAGCTGGGAATACAAGTTGGGTGACTTGTAGGACCCGCTGCCCCACCACTGGTCCTACATTACCTTTAAATAGGTGCAAGAGTGAGGCTATATCTGCGTAGTTGGCTTTGTGATTTGTCTTGCTGTGTCCGGACATCCTGTTGTGCCTAATGGCTGTAGCTCATGCCATACTAGCTCTCTTTATTGTTGCCTTTCAGATTATTTATTTGTGGAACCAAAGGGAAAAAGAAAAAAAAAACAACCAACCAACCATCATAACCTAGATAAAACTAACTTCTACAGGTGTCACTAGATAATTGCAACTTCCTCCAGAAATGGGAGCAGCCAGTGCGTCAGGAAGAAACCAGACAAAACAAAGACCAGACAAAAGCAAAGCCACTGAGGACAAAATCCTGCAAGTGCCTGCTTCTGGGTGCTGTGCTTCCTGTAGTGACGGTAGTGTTTCTGTGTCGTACATAGTTCCTCTGCCCTCTGGTTCATGCCGTAGAAGAGTCTTCTGTGTACCGTAGTGTCTGCTCCGTGTACTACCCTTTTTATGCCAGTAGTAAGGATATGTAAGAACGGGTCCTAATATTCCTTGTGTCTTGCCCTGAATCTAGATTACTATTTTGGTGGACCCGCTAGGGAAGGGGAAGTACATACCCTGATGCCATCCACGCAAAGGATTCATGGTTAGAAGAACATAGTGATGCGGGTAGGGAAATTCCAATATTTCAACCTTTGTTTTTATTTCCCAGAAGATGAAACATTAAAATACGGCCATTTGTTGGGGGAACAGAAATCCTGAAGAGTGGCACTTGAGAAACGTCAAAATGAAACATTCTTGAAATTAAAATGTTTCTTTTTTGGGTTGCCAAACTGGCACAACATACTTTGTTTTGAGCCCATTCAACATCATATAACCTTGAGATGTATTGCTTCATAGGAGTCTAGGAGCCCCCATCCTCTTTTATCAGCCAAGCTCCCAGCGCTGAACAGTGTCTTCCATCATGCACTGAGAACCATCTGATTAAGATGCCCCGTGAAACTCGATCAGATGGAAATCTTCATTGAGTTATGGGACAAGACTTTAATCTCCCAGGAGCCGAGCTCATAGAGAGGATTGGAACCCAGACTGTAACATCCCTAAGGCAACCTGTCAATAGGGAGCTGTAGTATAAGGTTTGTTGAACTGATTAACAATGAGCCAGTTCAGCAAAATCAAGTATGCTGATATTTAAATATTTGTACCAACCAAATGAAATGTTTCCTTTGATATTCCCAAATGGAAATGCATTTTCCAGTGGACAGTGCTCACCTGGCTGTAGCCAAAAGCGTGACCTAATCTAGGGCATGATTCAGTGGTCACTGAAATCAGTAGAAGCTTTTCCAGTCATTTCAGTGACATTGGCCCATGTCCAATGCTGTCATTTCAGGCAAGTTAATGTCAAGAACAGATGTTCCTAAATTGTTAGTGAAATGTTAATGATTCAGGATTTGTTTATATGAGAAAGTTGCACTTGTTTAATTGCAGGTGTGATTTAAAACCAAATTGGATGGACCAATTCAGGATGGACAAAATGTCTTGTAATATAAAACGGGCCCTGTAGGGCAAACGAGTTGCCCAGAACCAGTCCATGGGCTGGAGGAACAGGCCCATGGACATGTTCCCACCCCACATGCTGGATCTAGTGCCAGTCTGGGACATGGCGTCTACTCCAGCCGGTTCAGGGATGACCTGCAGCATGGATGCCAGATCCAGTATGCGGGGAACTCATGGAGCTCCTGCTCCCTGTCATATTGGATCCAGCGTATGCTCTGGTTGGTCTGGGAGTGTATGGTTCAGGATCCAGTATGTTGTGGAGGGGAAGAAGGAGAGGCCTGGGCTGGCCCCGTAAAGGATCAGCACTGAAAGCCAGATGATGTGGTTCAGTGGGCTGTATATTTGACACCCTTGATATAAATTAATCAGGTGTATGATTGTTGTGCTGAAATAGTGGTGGTATCTTGTGACTTGTCTAGGGGAGGGAACAGAGAAGTCAGGAGATGGAGTGGTTACATGTTTCTTAAGAACAGGTTGCTTAAGAAAAGGTTTCTTAAGAAGAAAAGGTTTAAGACAAGGTACAATAGGCTGAATGCCTCCTTGGTTGTTTCATGTAAGCTTTAGCTGGGTGTAGATGTGGAAAACTGTATGGTAAGAATGGGTTTTGCAAAGCAAGGTGTGTGTTGGAGTTTACTGAGAGCAGCTGATATTTAAAAGACAATAGTTTTCAAGTGTTGCCACGTGGTTGCATGGGATATATTGATATCCTATACTTGGGGTAAGAATTATCAGCTTTATCTCAGATGCCATTGTGTGTTAACTGTTCATAAATGTTGATTCCTTTTTAAAGCAGAGCTGTGCAGCCGTAATAAGGTTAGAGATATAAAAGATTGAATAATGTAGGTTGAATTTTCTTTTTGGAAAGGAAAAAGATCAATCCATGCCTCGTGAGCCTGGATGAAAATGGTTTTAGGGGGAAAAAAAAGGGTGGGGAGTAGCAGTGCAGCCATCACAAAATAGCCCTGCTCCTTAATTTTTGTAAAGAAGAGTCAATAATAAAAATCAGCAAGGGAAAGAAGCTTTCAAAATAAAAATAATGTACCTGTCCTGCGGTATCATATAGTCCCAGCAAGTGCTGCTTTCCTCCGACAGTCACAGTTACTGGAAGAGAGAGGCAACACAGAGGTTATTTGTGAGATGCAAGTGCCAGCCAGTGGTTATGATTTTACATGCTTTAATCCTTGCATGCCAACATTCCCTTATGCTAGGCAGATTAGCGTGTGCCTTACAATGTGCATCCTAATGTACATCGACAGAATCCTCCCCAAATGAAGGCAACGTAACGTCACAGCAAAAGCAGATGGTTTGAGCTGAGCTCTCGTTTCTTAACAGCTAGACAAGATGCGAATTGCAAGCACTGGTGCTGTTTGGGTATCCGGAGATCTAAGGACATTTGCTAATGTCTCTAAGACCACCAGCTGATGCCTGCTAGACATTAGCAGGGGGACCCTTCCTCCCCACTGGGTCTGTTTGGGTTATGTCTAGTCTCAGTGCAGTCTGTGTTCAGAACCTTTTTCCTATCTTCATTCCAGTGCTATGAAACAATGATATATTTGGAACCGAGTAATATTCACTAGGCATCGACATCAGTGTATTACCTTTGTGCACTGCTCTTAGGTGCTGTGCAATGTGAGTGGATGCTGTGACACTGTCCTAAATGCTAGTGCTTCATGTATATCTTGGAGCTGTAGCACAACGTTTTCACCAGCTTTCTTAGCAAGTGAAATAAGGAAGATTTATTGATTGATTATTGCTATAATTCAGCAAAATACTCCAATAGTCAAATCCACTTTGGGCCGCATACAAAGCCCAGTGAAATCAATAAAAAGACTCTTATTGAATTCAATAGATTTTGGATAAATTCCTTATTGATTGCAGAGATCAAATAACTCTAATTTTACTTAAAAGTGTATGCGGCTTTGGTGGAGTTTAGTGATCTGTTTAATATGCCCCATCATTAAAGTTTAATGGAAAGGGAGAGAACTGGGAAAAAAAAACCACCCAGTCCCCATTAGTCAATGGGAAATGATGCTAAATGTGTATCAGGAGAGTCATATTAGACTGCTCATAATAATACTGCTTAAAATTATTCACTGGGCACATAGGATATTAGTGCGTCTCAGAGCATGTGGGTTAAAAGGCCCAGATGAATGCAGGGATGTAGCTGGGGAAGGCTGACTTGGATGCGTATTTGCTGACTTTGTGCAGCTAGTAATGAGAATTGGAAAGGTTAAGAGTTAGGGGTGGGAAAGTGTGGGGCTTGAAAACGTTTAAAGGTCTTGGCTTCTAAGTTGATGGGAGAAGTCTTTTGCTGAGGAAAGCACCCCATGACTACAGAAACAAATGGTCACTTCTGGGGAGAACTGTTCTGTGCAGAATCTGTTACATGGCACAACTCTACTGGTGTGGCTGGACAGGCTGATCGCTCAGCAGGTTTAGGAGCTCACACAACTATCTAGTCATTTGGATAAGGGATAAACAGAGTAAAAACTGGCCACCAGGCCCACAGGTGAAAAGAAAGCGCAACACACTGGTGCAACAGTAAGAGTCAGATCCTTAGTTCCATCTAAGCTGTACCTGCCACAGGTGTTGGAGATAGGGGATTGAAGGAAGTGGCTTAGAGACATTTTACCCCCCTGCATTTGGGGCAGGTGGTGGAGAGTATGGCTCAGAATAACTTAAAGCATCCTCAGCCTCTAGAAAAAGTCCCCAGAGGTTGCTGGGCCAGCCTTGGTTCATGGGTGTGCAGGGCACTTCAGCCCATACCTCCACTGCCACTGCCCCCCTTAGAATGCCCCTGCAGTGGGAGGGCAGGAGCAGAGCTGTCTGTATTGACTTTATGGGACCAAGGAATCCCCCCTGCAAGAGAAATCCCCAGCCCTGGGCAGTTTTCCAGCTGCTTTGCATGGTCTGAGCAGAGCTAGCCAGATGCAGGTGATGTTTTTGGGTTCAGTGGTGTATTTAGGATTTAAATAGCCTCTGAAATGCAGCAGTCTTCTCTGCCCAAGTGCAGGGGGGCTGGACCCAATGATCTGTAAGGTCCCTTCCAGCCCCTAACAACTATGAAACTATGAAGACAAACCAGCTGTAGGCCAGCTCCACCATGTTATTTATTGCTTTCCCCTGCAAAAACCACAGCCCTCATGTGATTCACTCCAGCCGTTATCTTGCAGGGAAGCAGGTAAGTTGGCCTGCTGGTTGTTTGCAGAGCCATATGATTTTTCTCTTCAGCTCCATAATACATTTCTGGCATGATGAGCCATAGAAATGTTGCCAAAGTGGAAAAGAAATCTGATGCATATTAGCAGGAGCTAAACTGTCCAGAAATGCTTTCGTTACTGAGGATCCAAATTCCTATTGAAAATCACTGCAACCAGGTCCGGTCTGCCCTATGGAGTTTCGCTGGGCCTGTTTTGTTGGTTATAGATGGATGAGGTGAGCCCGCTGACCAACAGAATCATGCTGGTGCCCTGCTGTAGATGCAAAGGGTTGGTTTTCTAATATATTGTATTTGATTTGGGTGGGAGGGGAGGTAGAGCCTGAAATAAGTTATACTAATAAAGAACAGTTTTGCTGATGCACTGGGTGTGCACGACATATGCTTTGCTGGTATAATATCTTAGTGTAGCTATCCTGACAAATGGTCCTTACTGTGGAGCTGATTTTAGGCTCCTGAGGACTTGTCCGTGCAGTGCCTGTGACTAGTCCTGTGGATGTCAGGCCTGAGCATGCCCTGTTCATATTCTACCCTCTCGAATCCACTGATGCACTTCAGGCCCAGATGCTCATCAAACTGCTCCAGACTTTCCTAGTGACTGCTTTCAGGTATGCTGGAAACTGAGGACTCAAGCTTGGGCATTGGAGACAGGCCTGGGGTAACCTCGCTATTGAACATTTGGGCCTAGAACATGTCTATGGACTTGGGTCTGGAGCATGTCTATGGGTGGGGATTGCTGGGGCCCTCTGGATCCAGGACTCAATGCTCGCCTAACTTAGAGAAGCCTTCAGACCCTTTAGTCTAGTACCATTTCTGCGGTGCTCCCAAATGTCACTAAGAAGCACAATCCCACTCTGCACATGCCAAACCCAGAAATGATGCAACAACATGGCCGTAAGGGCATCTTCCTCCCCCCATGCACAAGATCCCAGTTTTTGCTGCCTGTGCGAGCGGTGGCGGGGGTTGGGGGGAGGTGGGTTGTTTCTGGGTTTGGTACATATGGGCTGAGAGTGGGTGAGCAGAGGGTGTGCTTTTTGGCAGCATTCTCCAGAGTGCCATGAAAGCAATATAGACATGTGCCTTAAGGCTCTTGAAAATCATACAACCTGCCCAGGAAGGCAAATGTTTTTGTTGTTTCAATCCTAGTGACTGTCCATACTGATTTGGTGGCAGATCCATGTACACTACAGTGACCCTCTCACTTTCTTTCTCTAATTTCTCCCCAGTTGAACCACAGTCTTGTATCACTATTTGCTGCAGCTTCCTTAATGTTTGCTCATGATCTGACTATAGCGTGCACATTCCCAGCCTGTATTATATTCCTCCCATTCTGGGTACAGCTCTGTTGAAATGACTATGTAGGTATCCTGCCATACCTTGTCTGCCTCCTGCTGTACCTGGAACTTGGCTTTGCTCCCAGGCTCGGATGTTGCCAGATCACTAGCAAGTCAGTAAAACTGGGATGCCTTCTGGCTGTTGGTGCGTGATGTCTAGGTCGTGATGTATTGCTACTAGAGCTTCCATGAGGCTCGCTCAGCAGAGGAGAATTTAGTCACTTTGTCCAGTGAAGAACTCTGGACAGCATCCGGTACAAGCTGGTCAATATGCCTTATGAGAGACTAATCTGTGTGTCTGCTCTCATAGACTGACAAGTCATATCATTGACCATAGTGAGCAGAACATGTTTTTGATTGCAGCTGCTTTGGCAGAGTTACAAGCCCTATTAGTGGCCAGCATGCCCCTGGCAGTTTACACAACTTTTGTTCTTGCACCACATTTGCTTATACCACCCCCAATGACTCCAGCATTTCATACCACAGCATGGAATTGCCATCAAAGCATCAGATGTGATGCAGGCTGATTGACACAAATGTGACCAGTAGATTCATAACCATTTGAGATGAACAACGGATCACCTAATGTTCATTGTCATTCACTACCCATCCCAGCCAAACCATGATGATTACATAGTATGTACAGTTTTGAGATAATAGGCTTGGTCAACAGAGGTCTTTTAGATTACTGGCTCAATTAATTAAGCATCAAGATATATTCTTTAACACAGAGGTTGCTTTTGGGCAGAATATGACTGAGCCCTTCTATGATTTAGTCTCTGGTTGCATTAGACCATGTAATGTAATGTAATCCACGTGGGGTTGTCACCCTTGTTGCCATTATTAAAAATGGAGCTTATCTTTCAAAAGGCCCATCAGCTTTACCAGGAAAAGGGAGATGTCGGATGTCTGCTGACATCTTACAACGTAGTGTGCAAGCTGCAGACAAGTGTCATTTGTAACATCAGATGAAGGTTTCATAGATCAAATGGCTTGCAAGTCGGAAGGAGAGATTCATAGATCTCACTGAGTTTTTCACTGCTTGGGAGAAGTGTGCATGGAAGCAAAGACAATTTGAAGAGTTTTTACTAAACTTCTAACTAATATACGCATGGAAAACAGGAACTGTTTCATATGATACCAGAGCAGAGCAACAGTTTATCTAATCCAATATAATTTTTTCTAATAGAGGCCAGCGCTTGAGAGACGGAGGCAAGAAACCTTGCAGTTATGGCTTAAACTGCCCATAAGGAAAGTATTTTCCTATCTCCCATCCATTAGAGGATGTGACAGCTTTGTAATAGAAATCCAAAGTACGGCAAGTCTTTTAGGGCTGGTCAGGAAGACAAACAGAAGATCAAAGTTGCCTTTGACCACTCTCAGTAGACTTTAGTCCCTCAGTTGAATTTAGTTTGCTAAACTCTTGGAACTACTCAGATCGACAGTTTTATTGCATTATGCCTTGTCACTTGAAAAGCTGCTTGTGCATATGGGCCCACTCAGGTGAGAACTGTTATTTTTCAGTTCTTGACTTCAGCTTGTGCTCAGCT